TGCTTTTCTGACCTCAAAATCTGTTTCTGCGTCTTTCATCCAGGATCCCAGATATTTAAAGTTCTTAACTACTTCGACAGTGTCGCCACTTTTAGTTTTAATAATGACTGGATCTTTCTGATTAAACGCCATAAGTTTTGTTTTGCCGGCGTTTAGCTGGAGCCCGACTTTAGCAGCAGTCAACATGCTGCGAATGGGCAAAATGGCATGCCTTGCCATGCTGGAACGTGTATGGCAAATAAACATGAAGAGAGGAGACAAGACAAGGCTCTGATTTATTGTTTTGACTTTCACTTTGATGCAGTGATGTATTTTATTCCTTATATACCTTCCCACTGAATCAAAACCGTTTGTACAATGATTGAAAACGTTCCCTTTTCAAAGTTGTTTCAGTGACAAATGGATGTTGTGATAGTTGGGAGTAAAGTTAGCCCCATATAGGTATCATTTCTTGTTTAACAGGGTTTATGATGTCAAAATTTGAAAATATAGGAATCTTGTTTTTTTGGGCCCGCCTTGTTTTTTTTTTTTTTGCCCTCTCGCAATAGATTTGGAGTCTGCGGAGGATGTCATCCATAAAATTTACTTACTGTGGCCTTTAAACTCAAGTCTCACATACAACACAGTACATTATACATATTGGGGAAGAACACCAGTGAAACAGATTGGAAGTAAAACATCAAATAACAATTTTGAGCTTGTACTTGTAATAAGCTTTGTGATTCATAAAGTATTGAGAAAGACATTCTTTGCTACAATATTTCAAAATTCCACTTTGGGTATTTATCTACCTTCTGGGTGCAAATTTGTACGTATTCGTTTTTGAAAAAATTCTATAATACATGTATGTATCTGTGAAAATATTAACCTTTTTACATACTGTGAGTGCCCAATTCACCACATCAGCTAAGTACACTGATGACTTACATTCAGGCATATCACAAGATACCACCATTTCTCTATAATTTCCCCATACATGTACAATGTAATTTGTACATGTGTATATTAAATATTCCAATACCTCTTATACATTGCTAATTGCACTTGGACATTTAGATGCACCACTGTACCACAAACTAAGACACTTTTTGGGAGTTATATCAGAACCATCACTTCAGGTACTCTTGTAACACTTTGAGCACACCCTGGGAGTCCATACTAGCAAGACCGGGATCGTTCAAAACGGCGGGTGATTGTAGCAGGTTGTGTCCACAGTTCTGGGTAAAGACGAAGCACCGGTAAAGCGCGTAGTGGTCCGTTTCTGCCTGTAGAATGAGGCGTTTGAAAGCATTCATGTCCTGAATCACCTGCAGTTTGAAGTTGTCTAGCATCTGTCTGACCTGGAATGCACTACCGGCACTCAGAACCTTCTCCCCCCAGTTCTTACAGAACTTGCTGACAGTCTCACAGCTAAACTTGTGCTCCTCTCCTTCCAAGCACAACACAACAGCATTCTGCTTCTGGCCGGTGGAATGGATAACACTGTTATCAACCTCGATGAGGGTTTGGTCGCTAGGCGGGGCAGGTTGGTTGTCGGGCGTGGTATTAAGGAGGCTTTTAAGACTACAAGCCATGATGAACTTCTCAGTGTCTTCCTTTAACTGTTCGTCTTGATTTGGTCCTTGGAATATCAGCTGACAGCCTAGAAGATTAAGAGAGTGGAAAGTTACATTATAGATGCATGAATTTTAGATTTATTCAACAAGCTTTAGGCCACACCAATTTAAATTGTTGGTTTTCAGATTCGCCTTTTCATTTTTATCTGCTTTGCAAAAAGATTCTGGTTCTGAATCAACTAAAAAATGCTCATATTTTGCTCCCAACAGTTGAGAAAAGTCCTTTTATTCCTACATGTAGTTGTTACAGTTTTTCAATCTTTTAATGCAGTGGTTTGGTTCAAAGTTTAAAATTCATTGTTTAAATTTTATCTCAGCCTTTTGTGTTGACTTCATGGTTCCAATCAAACCATTTGCGGCCTGTTTTTATTTTAATTTTTTGTTGCCCAGTCGCTTCATATTTTTTCTGAAAAAATCAGAGAACCAACAAATTAAAATGGTGTGGCCTTATAATACATCAACTGTTAAAACAAAGGAATTTAGACTGATACACATGACTGAAGGTTTCAAGCCCAGAGGCTTTCAGTGACATCCGCCATTTTTTCTTCAGCTGCCAAATAAGGTAGTCATGTGACCAGGAGGTTAAAAGGTCAACACAGGTTACATCACTTATGTGTATATAAAAGGATATATAACATCTGTGTCCATAATATCACCATAGTCCATAATATCGCCACCTTGAGAAACAGTGTGCTTAAAGATATTTTTACTGCAACATACCCTAGGTATGTACATTTGATGTGTGAAGGAGTGCATACCAAAAGTATGTTGCAGTAAAAATATCTTAAAGCACACTGTTTCTCAAGGTGGCGATATTGACCCTG